TGGGGCTGCTCTACCAGAGCTGCGACCCCGCGGCCTCTTCGTTTTCGCAGCGCAGTGGTTGTATACTTTTGTACATCTTTCCTCCCCCTTGCTGCAGTATACAAAGCTTGAGCATCCGGAAGTCATTTCTCACAGGTATAGTATAATATACCCAAAACCCTATTCAAATTAGTAAGGCCCGCACATTGGGGCGCGTGACTTGTGCCGGTGCTTGGGGTCTTCATGCAGAGATTGAGCCTTAGGATGGTGGTTAACGGTATAGTTTAAGAGGCTTCGCCTAACTAGTGGTTGGGACTAAATCCCTAAAACCAGGATTTCGATATTTGGGTTTGGAGTCGCAGCTGGCAGTGCTTGGGATTCATGCCAAGGAGCAGCAGCCGAACCCCGCAACCCCTAACAGGAAGGTAGAAGCCTCAAGATAGCAGGGTAGGATCCACAGGTAAGAGTTCTGGTTTCTGATCTTCTGGCAAGCGATGCGTCCCCATCGCTTGCTCTCCTGAAGCCTGCATTTTGTTAAATATGGAGGATTGGCGATACATTAGGCCGACATGACACTGTATGGAAAATCGTATGCTCCACGGCTACATTGCCCTAGGCGTTGGCTTCCGTCGTTTCAGCAGCCTGCATCTAGGGTTCAGAAGTCAAGGTTTAAGTGAGGTTTTTCAGGACAGAAATTAATTCCGTAGCACTAAAACCGACAGCAAGAAAAGGGGAACGATTGCTAGTTCCCAAAACAAGTTGGCCATTTTTAAAAGTTTGCAGGAGAGCTCCGCAGCTGGCGAGACAGCAATCTGGCAAGTTGACTTTGACTACGCCTTCAGGGTAGATATTCCAAAGACCACCCCTTTCACTGCTTGAGGGTTTTTGGGGCTGGGTCTAGCAAGGCTATACTATCACGGAGAGTGTTGGAGTTTAGCATAGTTTTGTGTTTCTGGGTGTAGCATTTCCAGACATTGCAAGAGCTGAAACCCGTGAGGTTCAAGTTGCTTCAACTGCAGAAAGAAGTTGGGCCAATTCACCCTGATGTGATAGACAGACCACTTCATCGCCAAATCGAAGACTCGACACTCTACTGTAGGATTCGTGGAAGATTTTCTGCCAAAGCAGGCAGACGGAGAAAGTGGCTTGCCGGCACAATGTCTGACTAGATTATGTCTCCTGTCTGCGAGCTTGTCCCGCTGGCTCAGCTATTTAGAAAAAGCTGGCTGCGGGGTTTTAACGATTTCGGGTTTGTGGTGATCTCTGAACAAGGTCCAAGCTCAAGTTCGGCTCGTGTTTGGGTGTGTACACATCCACAGCAAAGAATCTGAACCCTAAAAAATGCACCCTATAAGCCCTAAACCCTGAAGCCTAAACCCCGATTCCTGCCCTAGCCCTAAACCCTACATCCCCAAACTCAATGCCCTGAACTCCAAACGCCAATCCCGAACACCCTCGAAACAAATACTATAATATCCTGTTAACCCGATGAAGCCCTTATAGAATCGAAATCCTCTAGAATCTTATTTATAAACCCTAATCGACATCCCTATGGAGCCCTCATAAGAACACGATCACCAAACCCCTAACCCTGTGTAGAATCCAATCAGCAGGCAATAAAACCAAGCGAGAGACACCCCTTAAACCCGAAAGCCTAGACTTTTCTGTTTATTCCCCAAACATGTACTGAAAGTCTTAACCTTACCTTACCCCTCGAGAACCTACTTTCGTGGGGCTTGACATGGAAATCAACATACGGAATCTTGCTTAAAAACAAGACAGGGTCTTGGGGGGACCCTGAACCCCACCCTAAACCCTTCCCATCATGATGAGAAGCCTAAAAAGGCTGAAGTTTGTTTGGGGTATGGGGGGGACCTAAGCCCTAAAACCCTAAACTCCGAAACCCCTTAAAGCCCCTGTACCCCGAAACTCTTAAACTCCTCAATCTGAAAACCCAAACCCTAAACCCTAAAACCCCAGAAACCTAAACCCTTAACCCTAACCCCCCCCCGTGGCCGGCTTTTTGGGTTTATTTGGAAGCTGACACTCGGGTTTCGTTGTTAATACTAACGATCCCAGCCCAGCCCAGCCCAGCCCAGCCCAGCCCAGCGCAGCCCAGCCCAGCGCAGCCCAGCCCACAGGAGTGGTGCCTGGTCCCGAAACCCCAAACCCTGTGCCTTCAAGGTGATGCCACGATACCAGCGGTCAAGGTGACCGGTTCAGGGTTCAGGGGCTCCACCACAGCCCGTGTAACAGTATAACCCGTACTTCGGCATGTGGCGAGCTTTTAGACTCACGTGGTACGAATCTTTGAACATCTCTGTCGTGAAGCTTTTGTGTCAAAAAGTTCTCCATCCTCGAGATGCAGTCCATGGAATGCAAGACATGATCAGACTAGGTTACATGAGCTCTTGTTTGGTACTGCTGCGGGTTTGGACCCATGTGCTTGTCACCCTTGGCGTCAGGGCAAGGCATATTCGGAGTCGATGAGAGAAGAAACTCAGCCGCAATCTGTGCAACTGCAGCACATCACTGCAAGGCTGCTTCGTCAATTTTGCACAAAAAGAAGACATTGGCTCTTTGAGGGGTTTCAGTGCCGTGGTGCCACGAATTGCAGCAGTCTGAGCGCTTCTGAGTGCATCTCACGTGTCGCATGCCACCGATCTGTTCCGAGGGCACAAAGGATGAGAAGGATATGAACATCTTTGGCTGCTTAGCTGGCTTGGCCATTTCGGCAAGTCATGCCACTCAATAGTCGAAATCTGCAGATCTTTACTCGGTGGTGTCCGTTTTCCTGGGAGGGCAAACGAAGATTTCATTGCAGGGTTTGTTTGGCCTACGCCCATAACTTTTGCTTGGATGTCCGAGTCCTGGTTCTTTGGAATCATGAAAGACTGAAACAACTTACAGCGCTGGTGTTGCTTCAAGCTTTGTGGGGGTTTCTTTCCTTGCTTGTTTTGTGACCATCGTTTGAATTCATGTTGGCTCGCTCTTTGTTTATCTCCAGTGCTTGCACTCGCCTACATGATATGCCCAGAACCGGTTTGGTAGTGCAGACGCTGTGGATACCAACCCTGAAGCCAACTCGAGATTGCCAGTTTCAACCAGATCCTAAACCCCTAAAGCTCCCTACAAATATTGTAGGGGCCTGAGTAATTAACCAGATCTTTGTCCGAAGCTTTGACATTTTGGCCGATGTACGTGGAGCCTTTGCACCACCCCTGTTCAAGCCTGTGGCGCTTAGGGCCTTGCCATCAGCCCAAACCCTAAACCCTAAACCCTAAACCCTAAACCCCCTTATCCTACACCGGTTTTTGGGGTTTGGGGTTTGTGTTTTGGGTTTAGGGCGTAAGGTGATGCCCCTGTGCCCTACAGCTTCATGAACCCTCAACACCAAGAGAAAAGCTTTCAACCCCAAAGCCCCTCAGACTCAAAGGCACTTAACCTACACCCCTAAGCCTGTCCAGAGCCCTCAGTGAGACCCGCTATACAACTCCTATAAAAGCCCTTTCAAAACCCGTATAGAGCACATGATAAGCGTCCTATAAAGCCTTTTCTGAAGCCTTGATGCAGTCGAGTAAGACTCTAGTACACCGCTGAAGCAACTCTTATAACATCTTGAGTAAGAGATCTCTACAACTCTGTGGAAAACCTTATTACAAAGTGTTAGAACCTTTAACAAGAACCTTTTTGCTGAAAAGCCTAACACCTAAATCCCCCAAGAATCCCCACATCTTTTGCCCCAACTAGACCCTAAACCCAAAATCAGAACAAAAATCCCTAAACCCCATATCAGAATCCGGTACCCTCGGCGTCCTGGGGGCGGTCATTCTTGCGGGCGGCGTCTTCGTCCTCGGCATCCTCGGAGGTCTCCGTAGGAGTTTTGGAGGGCTGGTTGGGGAGGGTTTAGGGTTTAGGGTTTAGGGGATTCTATAGGTTCCTAAACCCTAAACCCTAAACCCTAAACCCTGTTGCAAAAAGGGGATTCTATAGGTTCGGTAAGGGTGTTTTAGGGCTCTTGGGCTTCAGGATTTGAAGTTCTTCTTGGAGGGATTTGTAGGGTTCTTGAAAGGCTTTTCTGGTTTTTGTACAGAGTTTCCTGGTGCTGCACGGGCTCTCTAAGCTCTCAGGTTTCCTGAAGTTCCAGGTTTTCGGGCGTCGGGGTGTAGGTGGCGCTTACGTAGAAGCTCTAGAGTTTAGGCGTGTTGGGCCCAGGTGTTAGGAGTTTTCGGAGTATAGGACATGGGGGAATCATGGTTTCGTGGAGTCTTTTGCACGAGAGTTTAAGATGAATGGTGGCTTCGGATTCAACTGTGTTGGAGTGTGGGCTTTCGGGTGAGCGCTTAGGCACTGGAGGTAGAGTCAAAGGGTCAAAGGGTAGTAAAACTATCTGCAGCGCCTCAGGTTTGCCACACGGCCCCGTCCAGTCCAACCACATCCAATGCAGCCGTTCCTCAGAGCATCCACGGGCCAACCGTGGTACCGTCCACCCAGACCTCGCCCGATCCGCATGAGCACCCATGCGCTAGCCATTGAAAACGTCCACTCAGAAGGATTTGTTCCCCAGAGTATCCATGCTCCAACCAGGGTAGCGCTCACCCAGACCTCCGTTCCCCACAGCATCCATGCACCAAGCATGATAATGTCCACCCAGACCTCAGCCCCTAAACCTGAACCCCCAGAGGCAGACTTGCTAGCAGAGCTGGGCTGAGTGCATAAAGTGCTTAAACCCACCGAATGTTCCGCAAATGTTCTCCGGAACTCTGTGCTCAAAACTGCTCACCAACGCCGCCTGCTATGGTAGCAAGGCTCGAACATCTAAAAGATTACAGTATCTCCATGCTTCTGCCCATGCTTGTACAGCTTCCAAACCTCGGCGTCGAGCGTCTTATATTTGCTGCTGGATTAACCATCAAAAACTCGTGGCGACAGCGCAACCCCCCGAAACTAGGCATACTTTAAACCCAAAGCGCGCCCGTGCTGCGCATAATCCTAAGCCTCAGGCCCGTATACTGGTTGTTTGTGCCACCTCGAGCCGTGGGGAGCTACAAGTTTTCAAGATCGCCTGGTGCTCATGATGAGTTGTTAATAGAAGCCACGAAAAGGTTGGATCAGGGTCATACCCTTTTCAGGGTATCTTGTTTTTGTTGTCTGTAGTATTCGCCTAACGGCTCCGAGATTATTGGGCTCCTCCAATATTGCGATTTCCGTGGTTGGCTCCTTAACTGTATAAGTATACTAGAGGCTACCCAAGCAGCCTCATTTGATTAAGGCTCCTGCAGTAGAATTTGCAGCTCAAGGTATAGTGTCCATCACCGTCGTTTGCCCCAGTTTGTCTTCGAACAACGTGCGAAAAGCATGGCAGGGCCCATGCTCTCGCATTGTAAGCCTTGTTGAACATGGCGTCAGGACGGGATGGAGGCTTAAGGCCAGGTTCTGCATAATGTGTTCTTGCACCCCGGCTTCGAAAAATGTTGGAAAAGCATGGCAGGGCCGATACTTTCGCATGTTAGCTGCTCACCATGGTCTTACCGTTATGATGATATGCGCAGCAAAAAATGCAAAAGCACAAACAACAGCGATGTTTTTGCGGTGGGAGCATCTGTTGAAAGATGCCTTGGGCATGGACACACTGGCCAGTGGATGGGTTGGTAGCGTGGACGTTATCATGGTTTGTGCAGGGATGCACTGGCCTATGGATAGTTTGGCAGCATGGACATGGCACGATGCTGACGTGAGCGGCAGAGAAAGCAGGCAAGCGAGGGCGATGGAGTCATGGTATAACGATTCCTCCCCAAAGCTTCTCTCACCTCCCTCGGCTATATAGTCTTGGGCTTAGGAGTCACTGAGTCTAGATATTTCGGGTTGAGGCGTTTCAGTGTTTCAGCTCAAAGCCCAAGACCCGATACACAAAGCCCCAGACGCTAATCCCTGGAAAATGTGGTCTCTTAAGCCAGGTTGAGATTGGCCCCTAAACCCGAAAACTGAAGCTTCTCCCAGCTCTAAATTGGACACCTATATGTTGTTATAGTTGTTTATTGATTTATGTCTTCATTTCGTCTTATTCAATCAGATTTCCATGTAATAGTTTAATGTACATGTTAATGTCTATACATACCTATATATATATATATATATGTATAAGTCCTGAAACTGCCTGCTGGCAGTCGCCCAGTCCTTCAAAGAAGACTTTCCAGGTGGACCAGATCGGGTGACCGATGCGCTCCTTGCTAGCAGA